GTGGAAAAGGTCCAAACTCGGAGCCACCCATGTTGCCCCGTACCGGGTGATGAACGTTGAGATCAATTAACCGGTATGAATTCGGCATGAATTGAGCGGGAAAAACCTTGAAGCAGCAGAAGAAGTCGAGGTAGAACTGGTGGAGGGGGGAGCGCAGCCCGGCTTTGATAGAGTCCATGTGCACCATAATCATCCTCGTACGTCGTTTCAACAGATGATCTGTGTCCCGTAGGCTGTAGACGAACGGCGGGGGAGAAAGACCTACAATTCTTTTAAGGCCTTGTCCGAGAAGGATTGCTCAATCTCGGTTACGTTATGAAATAGCACGATATGACGATGGACGTCTACGGGAATGCCTCGATCATAGATTTGAATATCGTCCCCATCCACGGCCTTTGCCCCGGAATCATAATCCTCGGGACAGTCGTCCTTGGGGTCTTGTTCGGCAACCACCATTTGGGCATTTTCTGGGGCAATGTTCATTTCGACATCCCCCATTGCTGCACCCTCGAGGACAGCCCCTTCAGCCACGACTATCCCCGCTATGGAGGGAGAGCTGAAACTACCGGAGGTACTCGCCACCCTTGAGGATCGAAACCTCGAGCTTGAGCCAAAAGAAGAGCTCGAAGAAGAGCCAGAACCCGAACTCGTGGAAATTTCCATTGAACACGCCATTATTAGAAAGGAAGGGTCTGAGAAAAGGAAGAACCGGAATCCGAAGTTACCTTACGAAGCTAGAAGCGGATGAGCCGGAGAGCAAAGAACGTTAGAAGCAGAGCGGCGAACAGTGAGAAACTCACTGGAAGACTTGGTATTTATAGAGAGGGGCAGCCCCCAGCGAACTAATCAGAAGGCGACACGTGGAGAGGAGCGTAACCGACACGTGTTGCATGGAGATGAACAGACGCCTGATGATTACCCCTCATCAAGAAATGTACCGTTCTGTAGTAACCGCCACCTAGGGCTCCATGAACTGCCGCCACAAAAGCAACCGTCACATCAGGAGTGTCGATGAATAATCAGCACGGCGGAAGCACTTTTACCTCCTCATGTTCTGCGCACGCTCGGAACATCAAAAGTGGGGGACTTGTGTTGGGTTACTGGCCCAACAGGGGTTGGCCCATCAACCATTAAGGGCTTCTAGATGAACGTCCCCAGAAGTCCCAAGCCCACATCGGTGAGGTTCGTCCCCAGAATGCCAACTTACATCATACATGCCGCAAGGCCCAATGGGCATCTGCCAGGGGACGCACGTAGCTGAGGGCGGCCAGGCATCTTGGTCCAGAAGTGGTGCAAGACGCTCGGGACCTAGAACTTGGGGCCAGCAGAACCCAGGAGGAAAGCTCATGGGGACGCTCATCCCCACCCCTAGGCGGGAAACCCAGATTCTGGCGGGAAGCACATTTAATGAAGAAGATTTGGTGGTTGGGATCCTAGCCATACACAGCCTACCATGTCAGCATGTCTAACTACCCCTTGGTAGCATAAATAATACTCCCTCTATCCCGCTAACAATGGGACAAGAGGGAGTGACACGCAAATCAATAAAAGTGGTTTATGTGGTTGATATTGAATTGATAAAGTAAGAATAAAGTAATAATGATTTAGAGCCACACAAACTTTGCCAAATTTGGTATGGGACAATCTTAGTGGGACGGACCGATAAGGTAAAACGGGACAATCATAGCGAGACGGAGGTAGTAGCATGTATTTCATTGTAAAAGGTTGGCAACTTAACACTCTAGCATTATACCATTGTATCAGCTCATAGCATAGCATTGTACGAATGGCTTCAGAGCTTGTAACAGTTGCATTGTATTAAGACTTCTTATTGAACCTCCTTTTGCTTGTTAATCATCTATCCACTAAAACATCCTCTCGAAATATTTAGGTATGTGTTGGACCTAGGGATTGAAGGAATAAACCTCAACACCATACATCCAAAAAATATTGTTATTTAATTTAGTTGGAGGGTAGACGAGGCCAATTGAATCATATTTATGCTCTTTCTAGAAAATCTGAAATCAGATGGACTAGAAATGTTGAATGCTTTGTTGTCTTACTTACAATACCCGTGGTTTAAATTCATCTACAAGTTATTCAACCAACCATTTTTGTCTTCATTTGTCAGCTTTCCTCACGATCTCATCTCTAATTCATATGTTTCCTAACTTTCTACCGTACAACTATACATGTGCTCTAAAAAATCACCAAATCATCATCATCATTATTACCCCAGTGTCACAAAGGCTACCCACCTATGGTGGACGGGTGGAGTAAGGAGGGTCGGATGTACGTAGTTTTACCCATGTACTAAAGCACATAGGGACTGTTTCCGAATGACCCATAGTGAAAATTACATCGAAAATTACATGGACTGATTGTTGCTTCATAACAAAGAAGCGCAGACAATTTAGTGACTCATTTTGCTTTATTCCATCATATTCTCAAGTCAAAAAGTAGTGAGTCTTGGGCTCCATTTCAAATGATGGAAATATCACTAAATGTTGAATAACTAAATGTTGAATTAAATATTAGATTAAAGGCTATGGTCTGTGGATTGATCGTGGGCATTCGAGGTAGCAATTGCATGATAATACATCTGAATCCTCTACTTTTCTAGCAGTAAATTTTACAGTTAAAGATAAGAAAGAATGGCTCAAATGTTACTTATAGATTTTGAGTGGACAAATATATCACCATTTTAGATCTGGACAAAAATATGATTTAAAGTGGAAAAGAAAAGCCCAAGCCGATAAATCTTCACGTCTTCCTTCTTTCGCCCAAACGCATCTTCCGCAGGTCTCTTCGCAGAAGCATCGACCATGCTCTCCACCGGCGACCATATTCTACCAAGAGCGACCACCAGCACACGCGTGGACGGTGACCTTCAGCGAAGACGACGGCGAGCCCCACTGCGATACCAAAGAGAAGCGGCGGTGACGGTCAGCGACGTCGACTAGTTTCATCTTCTTCGATTCTCCTCTTCGCCATCGTTGTTCGCTGGCTTCATCCCTTCCATGGCGTTGATTGACGGCAACTCAAGATATGTGGAGCAAATTCAGATTTAAGGAGGTAATTCCGTTGCAGGCAAGGGCAGATTGTTGGGGGCAATGATGCCTAGCCAGGGAGCGTCACTGGGCGGCGTTAGGGTGGGGTCAAGCAGAATTGGGGCGGGGATGTGGTTGGGCGCGCGTTGGGTAGGGTAGGCTATGGCTGGGGGAGGAGGCTAAGGAGTTGTGGACTGTGGAAGGGAGAAGGGGAGGGGCTAGAGCTGGCCGGGGGTATGGGTCGTAGGCTGTTTTACCCGTAGGGCGGTGCTTGTGACGGGTGGATGTATAAATTTTCACCTGAAAAATTGCCGGAAAAGTTTTTCTAACGAGCAAAGTGACGTGTTTTACCGGTAGTGACATCTGTTAAGTGACACGAAAATCGATAGTGACATCTGTTAAGTGACACAAAAATTGACAGTGACTTCATGTTTTCCAAAAATATGACCTTCTTAGTCACTTTTTTGTCTTTATACAAAATGGTCACATTTTTGGAAATTGGTTAAAATTTAGTGATATCCAAGGCAAAACCCAAACTCAAACTCATTTTATTCAAAATCGTCATTATAAACCCACTCATTTTATTCATTACGACATTCACTACTACGATCATTGCACATTAAATGTCACATTAAAACATTCTCTATTGTAACTAACTCCCAGCATTTAGGAAATGCTTTACTGTGCATTTTTACTGTAAAGTTGTAAATAGCTTTGAAACTTAGGGAAACGTTCCACTACTTTGAGTTAGGCATGGGTCGGGCCCGGGGTGGACTCCGGGCCAGTTCAAGCTGGGCCTTTTTTCAGGATGTTGGGCCCGGAAGTAGGGATGGACCCGGGCCGGTTCCAGTTCCGGGCCGGGCCCGGGCTGGTCCGGTTCCGGGCCGGGCCCGGGCTGGTCCGGTTCCAGGCCGGGCCCGGGCGGACTTTTTTTGCAAATACTTGGGTCTGGAACTGGCTCGGGTTGATACCGGGTCCGAGCCTAACCAGGTCGGGCTGGGCCGGGCCCGGTTCAATGTCTATTTTTTTTTGCTTTCTTGTTATCCCCGACCCCCCCCCCCCTCACCCCCCACCCCCAAACCTCCCTAAAACACCCAGCCCTACCATAGGAAAAGAAAAAAATTTGAAGAAAAAAAAAATATGACCCGGGCCGGTTCGTCCAAAACTGGGCCGAGCCCGGCCCGCCCGACCCACCCAAACGGGCTAAAAGCCCGGAACCGGCCAACCGGTCCCGGTCCGGTCCGGACCCGCACAGTAGCGGTTTCGGGACGGGACGGGCCGATTTAGTCCATCCCTACTCGGAAGCGGCCCGGGTTGATACCGGGTCTGGGCCAAACCGGGTATGATCGGTTCGGGTCCGGTTCAATGTAATTTTTTTTGGCTTTCTAATTAATCCCCAACCCCCCCCCCCCCTCTCACCCCCCACCCCCAAAACACCCAACCCTACCCAAGGAAAAGGAAAAATTGAAAAAACAAAAAAAAAATGGACTGGGCCGGTTCATGAAATATAGGGCCCAAGCCCGGCCCACCCAAAGTCCCAAACCGTGCTAAAGCCCGGAACCGCCGCTCCCTAACCTGTCCGGTCCAGGGCCGAACAGTACCGGGCCGGGCCAGTTCCCGGGCCGGTTCAGCCCGGTTGAGTCCACCCCTACTTTGAGTTTTCATTAGGGATGGCTTTGAAATTCAATTTAGTTTTTAGCTTAAAGATGCGTACAAAAGAGACGATGGCATTTAAGGATAGTTCAATGGAAAGTAATTTTTACGTATAAATGCATTAGTCTACGGAAAAACTTTCCAGCCAATATAAATGAAGTGTTATTTATTGGGGTTGGGTCACTGCATCACCAACCTCTTCATCACAAATTACAACATATATGTATATGTATATGTATATATATATATATATATATATATATATATATATATATATATATATATATATATATAAAAGGAACCCAGGGCATTTCCCGCCTTCGTAAATAATCGTAATAAGCAGCTGGGGGGAATATCTCGTCATCTCGTATTCCAGTCTATCAAATCAAAATTCGTTTGAAGGCATTTCTTTCCTTTCTAAGCAGCTAACACTCTTCGAAATACATTCTGTGAAGGTCGGGGGGGAAATACACTCTTCGAAATACACTCTTCGATTAACAGCTTGCTTTTTAGATGGCTGGCACGTGAAAAATACATTCTGCCGCTTCAATTCTCAAGCCACATAATCTAAACTAGAGCACTAGGCATATAGGCAAGAGCAAGTGCTCAAAAAGTCAAAAGTATTGAAGGTCGGAGGGAAAACATCATCAGATCGAGCAAGCCAGCTCAAGTTCCCGTGGTGGTCTTTCATCATCATTGATAAGATCACTAGAGATGGCACAAGGTATTCTATGGCGTTTCAGAATACGGCAAGTGGCTACTTTTGCCACGTCGTTGTTCAAAACAATCACCCTCTCATCATCCAGGTCAAACCTCACATTCTCCTTGCTACAGTCCTCTACAAGATGCCGCAAGTGTTTCAAGTTCTCCACTTCAACCCCATTAACCTTCTTCACCTGCATACAGGATTGTTCGTTAGTTCAAGTTGCAGTCACAAGAAGTCAAGGCTGCGTGACAGTGGGAAATTAATCAAGCGCAGAGGGTTTCATCTATGTTAGCTAGGGGCAATTTGGGTGGAGGAGTTTGGTGGGGTGGTTTTGGAGGGCTTCGGCAATGTTCTCCCTTTTTTTTCTTAGTACTCATTGTTAATTAAACCATACTGTATTAGACTCCACCAGGCGAGAAATCTTCATATCAAATCATACTAAAGTAAAAGATTCAAACTAGACGAATCATTAAAAATTCAGAGCCTGTCATAGTTTTTCGGATGAAAAGAATGCGTCCTTGATATATATCTTGATATGCATTTGAAATTTTGTAATACAAGGTTGAAGGAATGACATCATATTTGTTTGTATAACATCTTAATTATTATTTACTCATTTTTTGAAACATTATATGTCAAGATAGAGTTGATATTTAATGTTGGTGAAATTATTAAAATTGTAGCTGATAATGATGAAGCTCCAAAAATTGCTGGATTCTGAAAAATATAAATATATTTTATCGATAAGTTAAACAAAAAGATGCATTAAAAATGCCTAGTATGATCAACTTTAGCAACATACAGAAAAGTAACTCCAGTCAACCACTAATTAATTAAACCAATTCAACATGGACAGTTAAAACAAATTAGTGTTAAAAGACCTGGCAGATAAGCAAAAAGTAGGCACCGAGCGCCGAGCGGCCACTATGGCCTTCAGTCTTCCTGTTCAAAACCCTCAATCCCAACTAGGGTACTACTACCAACATGATTCTAGGAGCACTTGGATTCACTGTCTCTCTCTCTTACATGAGTGTGAGAATGTATGATCCAAGGGATCTAAGGTCATTGCACGTTCTACACATACGGGTACCATAAACAATACCAGAATATGGGTCAAGGAGGCTGCAGTACCTGCAATTCTGCAAGACGCTCATACCCAGTATTGATATCATCCATCAAGACCTACATCAAGTAAAATTAACAGTGTTGAACCAGAGAACCCAATAGGGATAACTTATGGTAAAAGTGCTTTATCATAAACCTTTTCTCATAAAAGGAGTTCTTTACAGTTAAAGTGTCTTTTCCCATGCTCCTGCCAAACGCATCTTCTCAAAGTAGTGTTTTTCCTTTAAAAAGGCACTTCTTGAAAATAAGTTATCTCAAACACAGTCTAAAGCTGCAAACTACAGCTTACTAACCAGGATGCATGTCTCTTGCCAGTACTTGGTGTAAACAGAAGCCAATTACAGTAGGAAAAGAAACTTTTGATAACAGGGGGGAGTCTTTGGTATGCACCTCATCTCCCACCATGTGTAAGTATTTAACCTTAACAGGTGAAGGGTCTTTAGATAGCTAATTTAAAAGTAATATATCCAGAAGACATAATCTCACATGTATATTATAATGAATCTTTTTGTGATGATAATGCAAACACAGTTTTCTTGATACTTTAAAATGCACATGCATGTGTAAGTCAATATTAAACTTAGAAAGGAGTGAGATCTAAAAAACCTGAGAGAGAATAACGAGTTGTTGTCCCGGTTTTTTTGGAAGTTCCCTAAGTGCTCTTTCACACAGCCGTCTAGGCGAGGAATTGTACCAGTCTTCTCCATATTCATGAAGATATGGTTGAGTCAAAGGAATGAAGATCAGACCAGCAAAAATGTAATAACTGGGAAGCTTATCAAATTGATGAACTGGAACAAGGGGTTTTAGCTGCATAACAATGATTACAAACTCTTCAGTAAATGCTTCCAGCAATGCTGAAAAGCACAAGATGTTTCAACATAGTTCGGAAATGCAAACAATGAGAGACATCAATAGCCGGTTTAATATGCACACATCAATATATGCATCTTACTGGGAAAAGTTTGACGCAAAACTGGAGCTTTTCGCCATTTCTCAGTATTTTGACTTCTGCTGTTTCATTAGGTTTCTTCATAGAAACCAAGTGATCAAATGTTATTCGCTCTCTGTTTCGAAAAATAACTGTAGAGCATACACAATTAAAAGTATTAACGACAAAACAAAAAATTGGGATAAATGCCACACAATATAAGTACCTTGTTATTTCTGAACTTAAAAAGGTCTATGCAAATAAATTACAATTCAAAGTATTTGTTCAATAAGGCAATCTTCAAATAGTCAAGATATTCACAACCATGATAAAGCATCTAAGCGTGTAGTTATTCTTCACTGACCAGATGAACAAGAAAAATCAAATTAAATGGGCCCAAAAAAGTGAAAAAACATCCCCGTCCTGTTTGAGTAAGTTGCAACTTTTTATTTTTCGTCAATACATTCAAAGTAAAAGCTCTAACAAAGTGTGAATGGTTACTTATTTACACCCCTAAAACTTATTTCAGTGATTGTGGAATGACTGACTCAAACCACTTGCTGGCTAGCTTTCGAGGATTTTCTTAAATATGAAAGCTGATTTTTAAAACCGGACTTTCTTTGGACAAAAAAACACTCAACAAACATGACCCTTTTTGTGAAACATGAAGTAATGAATAAATAAATAAATATTACTACCTCCGTCCCGCTATGATTGTCTCGTTTTACCTAATCGGTCCGTCCCACTAAGATTGTCCCATACCAAATTTGGCAAAGTTTGTGTGGTTCTAAATCATTCTTACTTTATTAATTCAATATCAACCACATAAATCACTTTTTATTGATGTGCGTGACACTCCCTCTTGTCCCATTGTTAGCGGGACGGAGGGAGTATAAAACACAATCCCAATTCAGAACTTATATTTTTTAAGTAGTTTTTCCCCGGAACTTATAAGACAGTGCAGGCAATCCCGTAAAACTCATTTCTTTCATTTCATGTGACTATACCACTGACGTTTGATTAGTGTCAATCAACAAAGACGACCTGCAACATTTTGTTAAATGAGGAAATGAAGAAAACATTTGAAGTCTAAAATACCTACCAGTTCCATCATTTGCTATAGGTACACCATCAAATGAAAGAATGATATCGTCCTTTTTCAACACTCTATAAGCATCAGAAAGTGGGTTGATTTTGCTCACAAGTACCCCTGTACACTCTGGATCCATTTGGAAATATTTCCGAAGATGCAAATTTTCTGCAGGTTGACATGACAAGCCCATGGAGCAGAACCCAGCATAATTTCCTCTCTCTTCTACTCCAGCTATAAAATGTCTTATAACAGGGACGGGAATTATATAGCTGAAACATCCAAAGGAAAACAAATAAAAACCAGGTAGACTAAGTAGCCCATCACACTCTCAGTAAATTTACTCTGTTTAATTGATAACTCATCCTACTTATTACCCCCAATGCATCAAATTGCAGCTACCATAAACGTAAACAACTGAGTGGCTTTTGGAAGATTTGATGCAGATTTAGAAGTCATTAAGTTCAGAAGAACTTGACAATATTAACCCCCCATTAAAAAATCATTAAATTGAGTAATTGAATATTGAGATTGGTAAAACAAAATCAAAACTGAAAAGTAGCACCAAATATTGTCTTGGATATTAATAAAAGATTTCCTCCAAAAAGTTTTCTAAAATATATGCTCGTAAAAGTCAAAGTAGTCCAGAAGTATGTCTTCTTCCCAGCGGTCTAGGGATTGACTAGGGTTTTCCTGATTCCGGTTGATTTCTTGTTTTCGTGACGTCGGAATTACTGATTCGCCTGGAGACTCTGTGGAGGATTTGTATGCACGCTTAACCTTGGAAGACAATGACACTGAAGAAGTTGATATTGAAGAGACTGGAAATAGGTTTCGGAGACGAGTGTGCTCGAAGTGTCTCAGCCTGTATTTTTCTTTCAGTTCATCGTCCTTTCTCTAATAAACATCAACATTACCGTCAAAGTTTGAGGTCTCTATCATTGGTATCAGAGACAGAGCACCGGTTCTGGAGAAATCAGAAATGGAGAGCCGAATGGAAAATCTGGAGAGCAATATGTGAGCACTTGTTGACGATCTGCAGAATCTCATCATCCAGCAGAGTCGCCAACAGCTTCTCTCAGTCCGCAGGCATCCTCATCGGCTATCAGTTCACGTCAAGGTACGGCACTATCGAGAGGAGAACCCCTCAGTTCACAGACGACATTCAACCAACGTGAGATATCCATGAACCAAGGACTTAACCGAGACGAGAGAAAAATAGATCTGCCTTATATTCAAGGGCGAAGGAGCTCGTGGGGGATATTCGGAGCCAAAGCCTCTGTCATCTGGGGTTTTGGGTGGCCCAAGTAGAAGTGAAAAAAATGTAGAACGTTTTGCGCCTGAAGTTCATCAGGACCCTATCCCTGAAGTTGCTGCACGAACTATTGGTTCTCCGATAAGGGAGCTATAAGCCTTTGGTGGAAGGATTAAAGGGATGGACCCTTACCAGTAACAAGGAGGAAGTTACAAACCGCCAAGTTTTGCTTGTAGGCTGTTGGTATGGTTTCCAGGCTTGGGATGTGGAAGAACCCGATGATGTTCAGAACTTGGTTTCCAAGCATGATGGTCCTGTTTCATTCATGCAAATTCTACCAAATTCAATCTCATCAAAACAACATAGGGACAAATTTGCTAATAGTCGGCCATTGTTGATAATATGTGCTAATGGACCTTGTCCGAGTGGCAGTATTCACCATAGCAGTGATGTATCCAATGGCAATTGTGTTCTCACTGTTGTTTGGTTTTATTACTTGAGAGTTGAGAGTTGAGACTTCACTCTTATGTACATCATATGATGTTCAGACCAATTGTTCATTCTGTGAGATGCAGCTCTAGAGTTCTAGCTGGCCTACGACCAGCTCAGATACATTGTTTTACTGCCACCACTTTAGAGTGGAGTTATGCTGTATTCGATGAGGTTCACCAGATTCGAAATCCAAATGAAGAAATAGAAATTACTCTTGTTAGCAAGCAGTTGCAGACAGTACATTTCATCATAATGACTGGTGCTCCACATAATAAGCTTTCTGAATTATGGTCTTTATTTAATTTTGTCTTCCCAGGAAAACTGGGTGTCATGCCTGTGTTTGAGGAAGAATTGTCGGTTCCGATTTCTATTGGAGGATGTGCTAATGCGACACCATTGCAAGTTGCCACTGCCTACAGATGTGATGTGGTCTTACGTGACTTGATCCTGCCATACCTTCTAAGACGAATGAAGGTTGAACTAAATGACCACCTACCGAAGAATACTAAACATGGCCTTTTCTGCAACCTCACTTAAGTACAGCGATCAATTTATCGATCATTTCTCGCTAGTTCAGAGGTCGAACAGATAGTGGAGGGTAGCAAAAACACTTCGTATGGAATTGATGTGATGTGCAAAGTTGGTAACCATCCAGGTCTTTTAGAGAGATTCAGGTCTGCAACAGAAAATTTTCGTAGGAGGCTTTTGCAAAAGCAAATTGTTCCATTTTGCACCTCAGTTAGCCACTCCCGTTTTTCCAGATGGTGAAGAAGATGCGAACAGCTCTAAAGTGCGCACTTCACCTTCTTCTAAATCCCAACAATATGATCACCAAGCAACGTCACATGCTACAGATACGGCTAGCCTTAACAGTGCTCAAGCCTCAGATTATGAAGAGGTTGAATCAGCAGTGCACAATCGACAATCAACTTCTGGGATGTACTCTTTTACTGTGTTTCAAGCAATTATGACCCCCAAGGTTGAAGAAGGAATTTCTGCTCCTTATTATCTAGTCTATATCTCAAATGTGCCTCAAAGCTATTTTACAGTTGTTTCTGAATGGGAGGTATCTAAAGGTGAAACATTTAAACTATCAAAGTGGTTTGTGGATCTGAAGATTGAACCGATCCCAGGAATTGAGTTTACTAGCAAGTTATATACACAAGAGAACTATGGTGAGCAATGTTCAAACCAACAGTTTCAGAGACGGAGGTATGCTAACTTGAAGTGGTATAATTGTGGCAAAAAGGGGCATGAGCTGCAAGTTCTTGAAAATGTATCTGAAGGGTGTTTTATCATTGAAAACGTTGGAGAGGTACGGCAAGATGAATATGTACGAAAGGGTCATAAGCATTTTTACTGTATGACACTTTATAAGCCACAATTGTGAAGCTAACTGCTGTACAGAAAAGTGGATGGTAAATGGAGAAGTTCGCATTGGGCTTGTTGCAGACAATGAGTTGAACAACATCAAATCAGCATCCAACACATTGATAGTTTCAGAAGAAACATCTGTGAGGAGCCTCATGAAAGTAAAGAAACATTTGTCATTATTGAGTGCTTGAAGGCTACTCAAAAGAATGAAACTGCACTAGACATATCTTCTGCTGCAGAAACATCTGTGATTTGGAAGGATCAAGTATTGAAGCTTGTGGTTCAGCAGGGAGAACCTGGGAAGGGAGAGGCGCAAGGATGAAGCTGATGGCAAGGGATGTTTCCTACCTCCCACCTTGAGGACAAGGTATTTGTCAAAGGGAAGAGTGATGGTATGACCCTGGCAGAATAAAGCTATTAATAATAAGATAAGAGGGACCCGGGTAGAATAGAGTTATTAATAATAATATTAAGAGTAGTACAAATAGAAGCTAATTGAGGAATAAGTGGTAGGCAGAAATTGGGACTGGATTAGGCTTGGGAGAGGAGACTGCTCGAAGTGTCTCAACCTGTATTTTTCTTTCAGTTCATCGTTCTTTCTCTAATAAACATCGAAATTACCGTCAGAATTTGAGGTCTCTATCATGGCATTAGTTGGGAAAGGTAGGAAGGAAATTTTGGATATTCTTATGCAAAGGGTGGTTAGACGACGACTACAAAATTGGAACCACAGATTTCTTTTAAGAGTGGGCAAAAGATTCTCTTGAAAACGGTGATTCAAGCCATGCCGACCGATAGCCGTTATATTTACTGGTGTTTAACATAAGTATTTATAAGTATTTGTTGAAGAAAAGAAGAGAAATCGGGCAAATACCTTCAGAATGAGAGCTAGAGCATAAAACATCGCGATGAACGGCTTTTTGGACCAAGAGGATGACGTTCTGCCCATAATTCGAGTATAATATATTGTAGAGAACTCGAAATCACTCGATTCGAATTTCATGTGAATGTCAACTCAATAAGGTACAAATGTTATGAAGACGTCATGGCCAGAATATGAAAGGATCAAGACTCAATCAACCAATAAAGTCAGATGATGCTGGTGGAATTTCAGGATGCATACTTCTCAATGTTTTATTCATAACTTTTGATTGGATGACTAAAAAGACATCATTCAAGTTTTGGTGGATAGAAGACTTCATTATCAACAACTTTGGTGAAGGAATCATGTCCAAATTCGTAGCGGAACATCCCCAAAATCCCCAAAATTCGTAGCGGAACATCCCCAAATTCATCAAACAAAGACAATTCATTCCATAGATTAATTCCTAGTTTTTATATTTCATTCTTGCTATTGTTCTTCAAGTTCTTGAGGAGGAAAGTTCATCCTCCGAAATTATTGGTGTTTAGGTATTATTTCCTTTGTAATTTCATATGCTATTACATTTAATTATTGTATTGTGATTAATATGAGCTTTAGTAGCTAAGGCTAGAGATGAACTTCTATGCCCACTAGGTGTTTGATAAAAGTTCTAAACCAATAAATTGTGATTTATCCTTTATATATTGATTGTTTATGACTATGATGTACAACATAGAAGTATGTTAAATTTAGTTTATACTTGCAATTAACGTTGAAGTCTAAACTATGAACATTAAAGGATAAACATATATAGTACCGAGAATAGAAATATATTTGGTCTTATATGATACGGGTGTGATGTCTTGGTATTCAACGGGGTTTTCGGTAGATGAATGTAAGCCGTAACGGGACTTACACGTAACGAAAACCACGCTCTCGCTTCCTTAACCGGAGTTGAGAATATATTAGCGACATTGTATTCATAATTATTGGCAAAGAACTAATATTCAACCCTATTAAAGCATTTAAGTGATTCCCGAAGCCTTAGTTGTTATTATTCATCTTAAACTCGAAATTAGTTAACAATTATCTTCTTGAACAAAAAGTGAAAAACCAAAAATATAAATCCCTGCACTTTACTCATTTCTTCATTTAAAGTTATCTACTCCCAGACTTGAATTAAACAACATTTCCTTGTGGATTCGACCCGGTATTTTACCGGAATTTATTACTATATCGACACTTGTACACTTGCAAGTTTAGCTCAGTCACCGACCTATGATAGGGATCTACCCATTAGACTAATAAATAGAAGAGTTAATTGTAGTTATATTTCTGTTTGAGCTAATAACTACCTTCCATTAGTCTATAATACTATAAATAGAATAAAAATGGGCAGGGACGACAGGCTGTTGAGACGTTTGTCTTGGGACTGGGAAGTAGAGATCAATCCTCTCTATCTTTGGGGGCTTCGGCCATTGTTACGGTTACTGTTCATCTCTAATAAAGCTTGCTTGTTTTCTTGATACTATTTTACATTTTCTCTTGATTTTATGTGATTTCTGGAGGAATTCTATTAGTGGTATTAGAGCACGTTGATCGCTGGATGAGATTTACGCGTGCTAAAATGGAAGGACGATTGAACGAACTGGAAAGAAATCAACAGGAATCAGCTGCAGCTAACGCGGCTATGGCGACGGATATAGCAGAAATACGTGCAGCGATCGCGACTTTGGCAGAGAGAGGCCAAAATCGATCGTGAAGTTCTGATGATTCGGAAGGGAACGATAACTATTCACCTCCGCATCGCAATCACCATCGTCGTAGGGAACATGGTCACCATCACTGAACGGGAAGAAAAATTGATCTACCGTTATTCAACGGAGAAGATGCTTATGGCTGGTTGATAAGAATTGATCACTACTTTCTACTTAACCATATCGAAGAGGAAGATAAGGTCAATGTAGCGGTAGTAGCTATGGAGGATAGAGCATTGAGTTGGTTCCAAGGATGGGAGAATCAGACCCGTGAATGGAACTGGGAAACTCTGAAGGCGGCTCTAACTTGTCGATTCCAACCAGAATTGGTTCAAAATCCTTTGGGTCCATTATTAGGTCTCAAACAGAAAGGAACAGTGAAGGAATACAGAGAACAATTCGAAATGGCAGTAGCTTCTCAAGGAGATTTGAGTAGGATGGTAACTAAGGGCATTTTCTTGAAGGAAAAATTCATATCAATAATCCCAACTATCAACATTCTTCTTATATTAATCCAAAGTAGCAGTAATTCTAGTATAATCTAACTTATAAGGGTAATCTTCTCACAATGAACCGGTGACCTGTTTGCACTTATCCAGCCGGTCATCTGGACACATGTCATTTTTTCATGATTTTTGGATGACTTTCATTTTCCTTTTATTTTTATTTTCATTCCTTTATTAAGTATTTTCCGAGGGCTTTATTTCTCCTTCTTCCTTCGCTTCCTTGGCTGTCATGGTTTGCCCGCTAGAAAATTAGGAAGATGGCCGGCACCCGGCAATGAGAAACGATGAAGGGGGTTCCATCCTCATATATCTATCTTCAAGATCCGGCTGAGACATCTCGTTTTTTATTTCCTTTTCTCCCTTTCTTGGGCAGTTAGGCATCTAACAGTTCTCTAAACATCTGGGAAATCAAGAAGATAAGTATAACGAAGTAGCTAGCAACGACAATAGAGAGAAGGAACGGCGGATGGACTCCATCCCCATCTATCTAAGCCGCCTTGAAGTTCCATCCCAACCTGCCGTTGTCGTCTGACTCGTCGCCGACGTCGGTCCAATGAAAAAGAAGCTAGGTGTGTGATAGAGTTGGGCATTAACCAGATCTTGACAAGTCTTAAATTAGTTTCTAAAATCATACTCCGTATTCCCCTTACCCATCGTCTCATTAGCTTGGTTCCATGTCCGCTGCTGGAGCGTGGAAGAGAAAACCTCTGACTTGGCTGTTCATCTTTTTATTTTGTTTTTATTTTTGGTTTTTGGTTTTTGTTTTTTTTTTTTTTGCCTTTACCGGTTGAGTAGGTCCATGGTCACCTGGGATCAATCATAGAAGACTACCAATAAACTTCGGATTATTGTAGAATTATGCATAATTGAGATTAATATTAGAAGATGGTGAATAGTTGGGATTATTCATGTGAATTTTTCCTTTCTTGAATGGTCTGAAGAAAGATATTAGAGCTGAGTTAAAGCTCTATATTGCTAGGGATTTGGCTGATACCATGGATACAACATTACTAATTGAGCACAAGAATAGTGAAGTGTCCAGGAGAAACAAGGAGGAAGGAAAGAAGATATGGAAAACACATTCCACAGGTGGACAGAGCTACCATAAATGGGGAGATGGAAGTGGAAGTAGTTATCACAAGACAACTACAAACCATTCTGGAAAGAATTCAGAGGAAATCAAGAAATCTGAAGAAGTGTCCAATCCTATTCCAAGGAAGATGGGGCCCAGATTATCATAGGATGAATTGTGGGAAAGAAGCAAAAAAGGGTTATGTTTTAAATGTGGGGAGAGCTGGAATAGGGGCCACATTTGCAGGATGAGAAATTTCAAAATGGTGTTGGTTGAACATTCTGAAGGAGAAGAAGAGTCTGAATCTGTCAGGAAAGATACAAAGGAGGAAGAGGGAATTGAAATGGAATTCAAAACAATGGAATTGTCTTCAATGAGTAAGGAAGGGATTCCAAGCATGAAAACCTTCAAAATGAAAGGAGTAGTGAAGTGGGAATCTGGAGAACTGAAGGTTGAAGTCCTTATTGATAATGGTGCAACTCATAACTTCATTTCCCAAGAGTTAGTGAGAAAATGGGAGTTACCATACCATACGACTAAAGGATATTCTGTACAGATAGGTAATGGAGATCAAATCACAAACAGTGGCAGATGTGAAGGGCTGAAATTGGAACTACAAGGGCTGAAAATACAGCAACCCTTCTACATTCTAGAATGGGGGGAACAGATATGGTGTTGGGCATGGAATGGCTGACAAGCTTGGGAGATACAGAGATGAACTTCCAAAATCAGACCATTAAATGGGAGGTACATGGGCAGAAGGTAATTATACAAGGAGATCCTTCATTAAGTCAACTGGGAACTAATAAGGAGATGAAGAGTCTGGTAAATAAGAATGGAGAAGGAAATTTGCTGAACTATCATGGGTTATGTACTGATAGTGAAGAAGGAAGAGTAGGGGCATTGTGAGAACCAATTTTTGGGATTCTACTATCCAGGCTACTATACTTGATGCCTCCACAGAACCTGAAGGAATCAAATTCCTGGATAAAATGTCCTGACATATGTGTAAATCTGCTGTGAAATACATATGGAAGAAGATGGAAGTAGCAAAGCTAAAGGGCTAGAAATCAATCAAGTATTGGAAAGGGCGAGGTGCTAGGATGAAGGGAAAGCAGAAGATTTTGGTTGTTTCCTATCACCCACCTTGAGGGCAAGGTGGATGTTTAGGGGGGAAGTATTGATAGGGATCGACCTATTAGACTAATAAATAGAAGAGTTAGTTGTAGTTATATTTCTGTTTGAGCTAATAACTACCTTCCGTTAGTCTGTAATACTATAAATAGAATAAAGCTGAGAGAAAGGGCAGGCTGTTGAGACGTTTGTCTTGGGACTGGGAAGTAGAGATCAATCCTCTCTGTCTTTGGGGGCTTCGGCCATTGTTACGGTTACTGTTCATCTCTAATAAAGCTTGCTTGTTTTCTTGGAGTACTATTTTACATTTTCACTTGATTTTATGTGATTTCTGGAGGAATTCTATCAACCTATGCAATAAATGTGTTTCTTTTGCTTGTTAGGGGGTGCCATGACATAAAAATTATTATGAATGGCTATTGGTGGAATAGTAAAATATTCTTATAAAAATTCTTTTGGTGGTTTGGGGCTGCTGGGGATTGTGGTTCGAAAGAAATCAGAGGGCCTGGCACGGCGCCAGGTCCTATGCTTTTCAAATTTTGCAGAAGGTAAGGGCATTTGCTGATGGCTGGTCTCAGATGCAACAAGTTGGGAGCGAGTTGGAGGGTGATTTGCAGATAGGCTCTTCCTTATGGCAACGCCCGGCTGCAGGTAGAAAGAAGCTTAATGTAGACTCATCCATCAGCGAAGCTAGCTGCGGCCTCGGGTGGGTACTTCGGGATGAGCCTTAGGAGTTTGTTGTGGGGGGCTATGCCTTGGCCGGGGAAGGGTTCTCCTTTGTATTCGGAATTAATTGGTATCAAGGAGGCACTTTGCTGGTTGAAGGACCTAGAATGAGAGTTTGTGGATGTGGACTTGTATACAATTCGAGTTATCTCACAGATTCAGAAGGGAAATTGTTCTTCTTTAGGTCTATAGACTGACAACATTAGAGACATTGGTACGAGGTTTACAAGTACTACCTTCTCTCATCTTAGACGATCTGCGAACAAGGCGGGTCATGCATTAGCTATGATGGCAGGTTCTATATTTGATTGTCGTATTTGGTTATTTAAGATGATTTTACTTGGACTGAAATTTGTTGGTCTGGTCTGTTTAAGTCTGGTTTGATTTGAACTGGTCTGGTAAATGTATGGTCTCGGTATATTTTATAACTATGGAAGTCTGGTTTGGTTTGTTTAAGTCTGGTTCGGGACTAAAAACAAGTCTGGTCCGGGACTAAAAACAATCCGAGTAAAAACATCGTTGACTCCTCTAGATGTATTGTAGATGTATAGAGTCATGATTTAATCAATGCTACATGAGTTGTTTTCTTAAAAAAATTGCCTCCTAAATTACAATCTGAACAGGAGGATGTATCTTGCTGAGCTTATTTATGAAAATCACAAAAGCAAGCACTTGGGAGAAGAAAATAGTCAATAATAGAAAGAAAGGTGATTAAGGGCAATGGTTTTAATTAACCTTCAACAACAATTAGGAAAAAACAGCATATGATGAATACTAGTTACTTTTCACTCACCATATCCGGATTTCTAGAGAGAAGATTATATATTATTATATTCATATATGGTAAATATATGGTAATTCACTGCTCAAGGTGTTATGAGTACATCGTATCTTATTCCCCCTCCAAAAAGACTATGAAAATTAAAGAGAGTTCTAAAATATCCAAACAATTTAATGATAATAAAACTAGCATACCCAATATTCTCTGCACCTGAGAGGTTCTGGAATGCAACCCCGGCAACTCTGTCACCCATGATTGCAGGCCCTCCACTATTTCCGGGATTTATAGCTGCATCAATTTGTATTGCCAAGAGCTGACTTGCACCATGTACATATTGTGTAGGTTCGACCCTTGAGACAACACCTTTTGTGACAGAAATGTTGTCTCCCCCTACAACAAACCAAAATTTAATTGAATTATTTGGTGTGAACTGCGAAATATGATACTTAGGTGGTGTTCTCTTCACTCATTTTCAACAAGATCATACCAGATCACAAATATTCCGCTCAGACCAAAACAAAAACATTCAAATCAGATCAGGTGTCGTATTTAAGACATGAATATAGACAAATTAGACGCATCCAGACCAGACCACAAACAATAAGATAAGACCGGATCATCTGATAATCAGATTAGATCGCATTTTTGTGAGGAATAATGCAGAATTTAAGATCCGTAACCAAAATGCCAAGTCTGGGTACTGAGCTGACAAGAAAGTGGTGTATTTCATTAATCACAACTCACAGAAAGTTACAGCCAAGGTACGGAGCAAAGGTAGAGGATAATGGGCCAAAAAAGTTCAATGAGATTGCAATTACCTTGAGGATAACCAACTACAGCAACAGCTTCTTGAAGAAATGGAACGACTCCGAGCTCCAATGAGTTTGTGCCCACCCAGAACTCTTCATTCTCAACCAATAGAATAGCCAAGTCACATTCATGGCCAACCGCTTGGACTTTAGCTCTATACTTGGTTGGAGACCCATGCTTTCTTACTAGTACAAAGGTATGATCAGCCACAACATGCGCATTTGTCAGGATCCTCTTTCCAAAAATAACAAAACCTGAGGAAATACCACAACTGTAAGGCTTCTGAAGCTCTTCCCACCACAAAACAATAACCAAATGAACTTCTGAAAATTTCAAAAGTGTGTACAATGAGAAGAGTTTTAAATACTGAGAAGTCAAACCTGAGCCGGTAGATTCGCGCTGGGATTTATTCTGCCAAGGTAGGAAGTAATTAGGACTACTGGACACCGTAAAAATCTTGACCACAGAGTCCAATGCGAGTTCAATAGCTGAATAAGCATCCGAATTTCTGTTTTTCGTAGAATGATGGCCTGGTGGAGGTTCAAAATCAGTCACTCCAACACCATCCACAGCACCGCCACAGTCATTTTCATCATCCCCATTTTCGTCGCTTGTGCTCGCAGTAGGAAAGAATGTGGATGTACTGAATTGGAAAGCGTCAACCGAACAAGGAAGAAGGGAATGGTAATAAATGTTGTCTTTTTTACAGTGCAAGAAGACTTTCCTGGCTGCGGCTACCCGATCGACGGCATGCCCTGCGATAAGCGGGTTGCGGCGGAGAAAGCATTCCGCTGACAGTCTTCGGGCAGCACGAAGGGTCGAAAGTATTCCTAGCATCGCTACCCGTCAAATACGCTACAGACTCGGCTGCTTATCCGGCTTTTGCGCAGCAGCCGCATGCCGCCATTTTATTTTCTTTACCGTCATGACTAAACGAGTTAGTTATCGGTTCGGGTCTAACAAATTTTTCTTTTGCCCGCACACACTTTAGTTAAGGACATACGGAGTATTGGACAGGTACAGGCCCGCCCATTGTCTAGCACGAAAATCGTGCGGATGAAATTTATAAAGTTTTTACTTTTGACCGAAGGGGTTATATTGTTTAATTCCGCTGATTTAAGAAAAAATAATATTTAAAATATATTTTGTTAATAAAATATAATAGATTACTAGTTTTATTATTTTGAGACTTCTTGTGTATTCAGGATACTATTTTATTATAAATATACTACGATAGTGTTTTATTATTCTTCACATGTTATCAGAGTCTAGGTTTTCACTAAATCATAAAAAATATTTGTCTCCAATGTCGATGCAATCAGTGCCGCTCTCAACTACAACGTCGATATCTTCCACAATGCCATCATCCACCCCGATGTTGATGTCCATGGTTGCGTCGGTGATGACCGGTCGCACCACACACGTCCAGACGTCCATGCCATCTTCTTCGTTTGATGTGCTGATTTTTTCTCCAATAGATATGGCCGACTGGTCTCCTCCAGTTTTGCCCCGACGTCTCTTTTGAATATGCAGCCGCCTCCCTCGACACAGCCTACTTTTTTCGGCCCGACACTGAGCGGTCAAACTGGACTTTCTCCTATCCGATCTGTCACGCCCCGGACCGCATTCGGGCCACGTAGACAACCGCCGTACAACCTGATAAGAACAACAACAGCTCATCCCTATTGAATTGTACAAGGCGCCCGATTGATTCTATTGCCAAACCGATTAGTAAACACATACAATCAACATCAATATCATAATCAACAAATACGGAAATTATAATATGTTTAATACTTAGCCACACGTGACAAACACGGGCACGCAGGCCCCCAACTATTTTAAAAAAAAATATTGTTCGAAAATCCATGAGCTGTTTATAAATTTGAAATAAGAATGGAAGCACGAACCACGTCTTCCTTCTTGATCAATCACCCTAGGCAAAGGTGCAGGTAGTAGGACTCTGGCCTCAACCTGAAAAATGTGAGGGGCCCCGGAGGGGTCAGTACTCCATATAAGTACTAGTGACAAGCAGGCTATATGAAGAATAACTAATGTTTCAGACACGAGACCCAAAAATAGGGTGATATATATATATATATATATATATATATATATATATATATATATATATATATATATATATATATATATATATATATATATATATTGATAGAGTATATAGACTCGGACCCCCGGGTCTCACGACTATTGGGCCCGGACAGCGGCCCACACACATCTTACGGATATCATTTGTATTATTGTACTGCTTATATGTCATTTGTATGTAACTATGTACTAGATTAGTCTTTTATGTAGTTGGGCTACCGGGCCCATATTAGCGGTCCGACCCATTATTTCCCTATTTATACTCCTCTTGGAGCCATTTGTAAACCTAACTTTTCACAACTCATAATTCATACACAAGTCTCAATATCATTCTATCATTCATCTTCTCCACAATACTTGAGCTCAAATCTCTACATTTTATACATATTTGGATCCCTACAATCCATCAATGGTGCTTTCATTGAGAGATTAGAGCAAAATCAAGTGAGAAATCCTCCCCAAAAATACAAAAAAGATCCACAAATTCATTCCAAACACAAAAAATCTAGCTAAAACTGTACTGAAAAATCCAAAAAATAAAATGGCAGTTGGAATCTGGAACTTTCTAGATCTGTTCTAGAGTTGATACCGCCGCCTCCATCCATGCCTCGCTGTCGTCCATGTCGCCGCCCTTCACCACTGGCTCAGGCTCGCTGGAACCCACCTGCTGCACTCCCAGATATCGTCACTCCTCGCCACCATGCCGTCAGTAACCGTTCGAGGCTCACTTCTCCGCCACCGTAAGAGCGAACCCAGCTGCACAAATCGGCCGGAGGTCGCGGCCTAGAGCTCAATCTAGACCAACGACGGAATACAGCATGAGGCAGCAGGTCAGGTCTTACTTATCTAACACTGATCCCACGGATTTCGCATCTCCCTTTTGAAAGGTCAAAAGCCAGCCATTAATGGCGGTTGAGGACGTTGATAGATGTTTCCAGCTCCTATGCTATCAAGCAGAGTAACAGAGACAACGTCTGGAGGCTTACCCTAACAGCTTGCCTTCATCGGTGATTGAATCTGTCGACCCTAGCAGCTTCAGTCGAGCCTCCTCCGGTGGTGAGATGAGGTGGTGTCAAGGACGTCTGGTCAAGGGACCTTCACCCCTTTTTCTCTCGGTCTACGCTCACAAGAAGCTTCAGCTTGTCCACTTGCTACTTGCTAGACGTGAAAGGTGGCTGAAACTAGGTCAAAATTGGTCAAAAGGGTGGTGGGCCTCCTCAACTACAAGCCATGGATCCAATTTCTACATGGATCTGTTATTTCAGCCCATTATTCTGGCCCAAATAAGAGCTAAGTACCCCAAATTTCCTCCTATTTATACACTTAAAATATTTATTAAGTGATAGTAATATAATTATTACTGTTATTAATTATATTATTTCCACCACCATTATGGCGGGTTAAAAAACCCCGAGGTGGTGAAGACCATTATGAGGGATTAAAATTTCCCGAGGTCACTAATGATGCATTATTATTGGCATTATTATTTTTATCATCGCCATTAGAGCGGGTCAAAAAACCCCAAAGTGGTGGACCCGAGCTCTAGTCTACTGAACATCTTTATTTGATGATTTGAATTATATTTGAGTCCCTCGACCTACCCTAGCCACCTTTATTTGGTGACTCGGGCATCTAGAGATGAGAGTCGCTACCGGCCGCACATGACATTATGTCTGAGAGCGTTAAACGGTACACCTCGTTCTCCGAGACGCTAATCGCGTCGCCCAAAAGCCGTTGCCATGAACAACGCACCTATTGTATTCCGCTTATTTTTTGGAAATGTAAATAGAAGATACCACGTGTCGTATCGGCAGCCTTCGAGCGAAAGGCTCAGGCATACTCCATTGTATTTTGTATCAGCGAAGGGCTCAGGCCTAGCTGAGAGAGCACATCGTCCTGGCCCCGTAAGCCTAGAGTGAAACGCTCAGGTATGGCCGACGATGTCCCCAGGACGAGGGGCCCGCAAACGGCCCACGTCTTGAAACGGGAAGCTCACTGCGCCGTCCACGCGCCAGATCGCAGGACGACAGGCCTGAAATCATGGCCGAGGTGACAAAATCCCAAAACTCAGGGATGGGCAACGACAGCCGTTGGAAACCAACCAAAAGTCTAGCCCGCGTCATAAATAGGCGACGGGACCCCCCTGAGATCACAGACGTTATAAACGAAGTCCGAACCGGCCGAAGGACGAGCACACCCTTCGACCGAAGCCTGAAAGAAGGATACTCCCCGAAATAGGGAACGGAAACGGAAAAAAAAAGGAAAAAGAAAAAATAAAAGAGGGAAGCCGAGGACCGCGCGCACTCGCCGGCCTCGAGCAACAAAAAATGAAATCCCCACAACAATACTAAGTACATATCAGGCAAATACTACACATTATGGACGAAGCAAGACCATACATGCGGATTAGACGAGCGCCCAGCGCCGTCCCTCATTTTCAGACGAGCGCCCAGCGCCGTCCTTCATCTTAGACGAGCGCCCAGCGCCGTCCTCCATTTGTAGACGAGCGCCATGCTCCGTCCTTCATTCTTAGACGAGCGCCCAGCGCCGTCCCTCATCTTAGATGAGCGCCCAGCGCCGTCCTCCATTTGTAGACGAGCGCCCAACGCCGTCCCTCATTTTCAGACGAGCGCCCAACGCCGTCCTTCATCTTAGACGAGCGCCCAGCGCCGTCCTCCATTTGTAGACGAGCGCCCAGCGCCGTCCCTCATTTTCAGACGAGCGCCCAGCGCCGTCCTTCATCTTAGACGAGCGCCCAACGTCGTCCCTCATCTTAGACGAGCGCCCTGCGCCGTCCTTCATTCTTAGACGAGCGCCCAACGCCGTCCCTCATCTTAGACGAGCGCCCAGCGCCGTCCATCATCTTAGACGAGCGCCCAACGCCGTCCATCATCTTAGACCAGCGCCCAGCGCCGTCCTCCATTTGTAGACGAGCGCCCAGCGCCGTCCCTCATTTTCAGACGAGCGCCCAGCGCCGTCCCTCATTTTCAGACCAGCGCCCTGCGCCGTCCTTTATTTGTAGACGAGCGCCCAGCGCCGTCCCTCATTTTCAGACGAGCGCCCAGCGCCGTCCCTCATTTTCAGACGAGCGCCCAGCGCCGTCCTTTATTTGTAGATGAGCGCCCAGCGCCGTCCTTTATTTGTAGATGAGCGCCCAGCGCCGTCCCTCATTTTCAGACGAGCGCCCATCGTTGTCCATCATCTTAGACGAGCGCCCAGCGTCGTCCCTCATCTTAGACGAGCGCCCAACGCCGTCCTCCATTTGTAGACAAGCGCCCAGCGTCGTCCCTCATTTTCAGACGAGCGCCCAGTGCCGTCCTTCATCTTAGACGAGCGCCCAGCGCCGTCCCTCATTTTTAGACGAGCGCCCAGCGCCGTCCTTCATTTTCAGACGAGCGCCCAGCGCCGTCCCTCATTTTCAGACGAGCGCCCAGCGCCGTCCCTCATTTTCAGACGAGCGCCCAGCGCCGTCCCTCATCTCAGACGAGCGCCCATCGCCGTCCATCATCTCAGACGAGCGCCCAGCACCGTCCATCATCTCAGACGAGCGCCCAGCGCCGTCCCTCATTCTCAGACGAGCGCCTAGCGCCGTCCATCATCTCAAGACCGGCTTCCTCAGCGCCGCGAGTCTTGAGCTAGCGATCGGGCTCGCCATCCCTTCCCGGATGGTGACCATCGCCTTTATATGACGATCGGCTTCATCAGCGCCTCGTCATCATATTATAGGACCGGCTCCTCATCGCCGTTGTCCTCACATCACGGCCGGCCCCTCGGGCTCGGCGTGATCATCTATCTCAAGACCGGCTTCCTCAGCGCCGCGAGTCTTGAGCTAGCGATCGGGCTCGCCATCCCTTCCTGG